AACCCTATGGGGCAGTTCTACTCTGTCCTCTAGGGGTGCTGTGAGTCAGAATTGACTCCAAGGCAGTGGGTTTAGTTTGGACTTTGCTTTTATAAACACTGATAGCCTTGGAAACGGTCTGGAGAAGTTCTGCTCTGTCCTCTAGGGGCATAGTGAGTCAGAATCCCTGGCCCACAGTGTGTTTGGCTGGCCAGTGGACTGCACTTTGAGTATCCATGAGTTAGGGAGTGACACCCAAAATCAAACCAAACTCATAGGGGATCCGACTCATAGCGACCCCTCCTTGGGTTTCTAGGGCAGTATCACTGCGGAAGTAGATTGGCCAACCTTCCTTCCTAGGAGTGGCTGGTGGGTTTGAACTGCTGGCCTTCTGGTTAGCAGTCAAATGTCTTAGGTACTATGCCACCAGAGCTCCTGGGAGTGACATAGGAAAACTAAAAACAAAAACAAAAAACCCTTCACTGTGTTCGAGTGGGATCTGACTGATAGTAACCCCTCCTTGGGTTTCTGAGGCAGTATCACTACGGAAGTAGATTGCCCAATCTTTGTTTTAAGGAGCGGCTGGTGGGTTTGAACCGCCAGCCTTCTGGTTAGCAGTCACATGCCTTAGGCATTATGCCACCAGAGTTTCTGATTTAGGAAAGGCTTTAAATATTTCCCAAGTGAATGAAAGAATGAAGGTGGTCCTCCTTCTCACCAGCCCTCCCTCAGCAAGTCCCCCCAAACTCCTCTTGTTCCAGATTGCCCTGGAGATGCTCCTACTCAAGGAACCCCAGAAGTCCTGGACTCATCCGCTCTCTGACTATCGCTACACAGGTGATTGGAGAAAGGCTGCTGGGACGGCTGGTGCCTGGCTCACAGGGTTCTCAGCCAGGCAGCTGGTGCCTCCCGGGGAGCTGTACTCACCTGCCTTTCCAGAAGGCCTGCTCCTCCTGGGGGCTTCAGTCATGCTGCTTTCTTCTGGGTGGCTCCCACTTTTGTCCCGTTCTAGCAGGTTCCCTCAAGTCCTCTGCACAAACAGGGCAGGGAGGCTGCAGGCAGGGAGAGGAGGAGGTGGGCCCAGGCTCAGCAGCTGAGGACACCAGCCCTGGGCTCAGCTCTCAGCAAGTCCTTAACCGAGGGAAGCCTCAATTGCTGCGCCTGTAGAGTGGGGATTGTAATGGTCACTAGCTGCTTGGGTTTCTGTGAAGATTTTATGAGGTAAAGGAGTCCCCGGCTGCTAATGGAAAGGTTGGAGGTTTAAGTCCACTCAGAGGCAGCTCAGAAGAAAGACCTGGCAACCTATTTCTGAGAAACCAGCCAGTGGGAACCCCTTGGAGCACAGTTCTACTCTGACATGCATGGGATGGCCATGGGTCGGTGTTGAGGCCACGGAAGCTGGGTGCTACACAATACAGCCAGGAAAGGGCGCGACAGAGAGCTGGGGATTTTGACTGCTCGGTGACAGTGATGGCAGCCTTAGAGGAGGGGTCTGCATTCAGCCTGGGGTGCGAGCCCTGAGACATGACCCTCCCCCGTGCTGTGTTCCCCCGACAGGTTCGGACAACTGGACCCCCATGGAGAAGAGACTCTTTAAGAAGGCATTCTGTATCCACAAGAAGGACTTTTACTCGATACACAAGATGGTAAGGCAGACATGGGCTGGTGTAGACATGGCCTGGCCTCAGGCAGCTGAGATGAGCTGGAGCCAAATGGCGGACCAGGACCCCGGCCCCCTGCCCACTCACCTGCTTAGGCAACCCTCTGCTCGTAATTGGGAGCCCTTTATAATTTTAAGAAGCCATAGTTGTGAACCAACCCAAAGAGCGTGACATGTTCAGAGTCCAATCCTCCGTGCGCCTCCCTCAGTCCTCCTTCTGACTGATGGCTCCGTCTGTGGACTGTTGCCTTGAATACTCAGGCACTTCTCTGCCCATGCAGAACTTACACACACATATGCACACACTTAGACATGGGGGAGTGCACCTTATTTGTGATGCCCTGCCACATTTTTAAAAAAGTTGAAATACACAAGAGTGCGTGTAACTCAAGTGTAAGGTTGGACAGACTCTGACGTGTCTCCACCTGCAAAACCATCCCCACCACCAAGATAACGAACATAGCCGTGGCCCCCATGATGCTTTGTGGTCCCTCTCTGCAGCCTTGCCCTGTCCCTGCCCCCCCCCATGTGCTCTCTGTTGCTGTAAATGGATTTGCATTTTGCTGGGGTTGGGTATGAATGGAATAACCATACAGTATGTGTTCTGCTTTGGCTTCTTTCCCTCAGCTGGATCATTTTGAGATTCACCCACACAGCTGGATCTGTCACCAGTTCATTCCTTTTCATTGTTGATTAGTAGTCCACTGTTTGAGCTCTCAAACACTTAGCCCAGTGGTTAAGTGTTCAGCTGTCAACCAAAAGTTTGGTGGTTCAAACCCACCAGCCACTTTGTGGGAGAAAGATGTGGTCGTTGGCTTCCATAAAGATTGACAGCCTTGGAAACCCTGTGGTGCAGTTCCACTCTGTCCTCTAGGGGCGCTGTTAGTTGGAATGGATTGGACAGCAGTGGGTTCGGTATGGGCTTTGCTTCCGTAAAGATTGACAGCCTTGGAAACCCTGTGGTGCAGTTCCACTCTGTCCTCTAGGGGCGCTGTTAGTTGGAATGGATTGGACAGCAGTGGGTTCGGTATGGGCTTTGCTTCCGTAAAGATTGACAGCCTTGGAAACTCTGTGGGGCAATTCTACTCTGTCCTCTAGGGAGGCTGTGAGTCGGAATAGACTTGATGGTACCACAGTGTGTTTAACCATTCACCTGTTGATGAATATTATGGATTGAATTGTGTTCCTCAAAATCACACGGTATAAATCCTAAGCTCTATGCCTGTGGTTGGGCAATCTACTTCTGTAGAGATACTGCCTCGGAAACCCAAGGAAAGGTCGCTATGAGTCATATTTGACTTGACAGCAGTGTGTTTGGTCTGTTTGTTTGGTTATGCCTGTGGTTATAACTCCATTTGGGAATGAAATAGAAAGGAAACCAAGCAGCACTCAGGAAGAGAAAAGCAGGCAGATTTATTCACGCTAGTGGACCAGCCGGTGCTAGTGCACTAAAACAGCTGGCCCCGAAGACAGGGTCTTTGGGGTTTTTACAAGGTCGGTAGGCTCATGTGCAAAACTAGACGGGGTTGTGGTGGCAGTTTAGACAGGAAGGGGTTGTGAGCTGGGTGCAGCTCAAGCTGGGTGCTGGGTGCTAGGTGCAAAAGGGGAACTCCCAAGCGGGGAAGGGGAAACTGATGGGGGAGGGTAGCTGAGGTGAGTACTAAGGGGAGCTTGCGGGGGCTTTTTCTTCTTCAGGAATGGGTTGTCTTTGTTATGCTCATAAGAGAGGACTGGTGCAGGGTGTGTCTTGAGTCAATTTCTCTTGAGCTATAAAAGCCATTAAACAAGCGAGCAAAAAGCAGAGATGGGGGACGAGGGATGGCAAGCCACATGAAGATCGCTCAGGAGCAGGAGCTCAGAAGAGGCAAGGACCTTCCTCCAGAGACAACAGAGAGAGAAAGCCTTCCTCTGGAGCCAGTGCCAAGAATTCGGACTTCTAGCCTCCTAAATAGTGAGAAAATCCATCTCTGTTTGTGAAAGTCACCACGTGTGGTATTTCTGTTAGAGCAGCACTAGGGAACCAAGACAGAATTTAGTACTGAGAGTGGGGTGCTGCTCTAACATACCTAAAATGTGGAAGCGGTTTTGGAATTAGGTGATGGGTAGAGGCTGGAAGAGTTTTAGGTGCCTGACAGTAAAAGCCTAGGTTGCCTTGAGGAGACTGTTGGCAGAATATGGGTGCCAAAGGAATTTCTGGTGAGGAAGTGAGGAGAGCTACCGAGAAAGTCCCTCTTGTCTTAGAGAACACGCATGGCACCAGCAACAGAATGTGCCCAGACACATGGACGTTAATGTGCTTCTAGTGAGGCTTTGAAAGAAGATGATGAACATGGGGTTGGACAGTGGAGGATGAGCAGCGCTTGTTATGCAATGGCAAAGGACTCATCTGAATTACATTCAAATGTTCCCTGTAAGGCAGAGCTTGTAAGTGATGAGCTTGGGTATCTGGTTGAGAAGATTTCTAATAAAAACCTTCAAGGGGCCACGTAGTTTCTCTTTGTTGTTTATAGTAAAATAAAAGAGGAAAGAGGTGGACTTAAAATTGAACTGTGCAAAATGAAACAAAATATAAAGATTTGGAAAATTCTCTAACCAAAACCACATATCCTGGAACTGCCACCAAAGATGTGGCTACACAGTCTTTTGTTAAAGAGATTAAGCCTATGACTGATGGATCTAACCAACTGCTACAGCAGAAAACAGCTTAGATTGAGGGAGACAGAAATAACAAAAGGAAAGAACACCATCTGCCTCTTGGAATTCTGCAGGTGGGAACAGGAGTTATATCTGTTATCCTCCAAGGAGGGAAAAGACCCATCCCTGGACCAGTGTGGAGATCAGCAGAACTGCTGGAAGGAGTACAGGAAGCAGAGCTGCCCAGGTCTCAAAGGGTGGGGACACAGCCTCTAGGGTCTCAAAGGGTCTGCTGGGCTTCAAAGAATCAGATCTTCACCAACTTGGTTCTGGAGTGTAGGGCTGTGATCCTGTTACTGGAGCCATTAAGGGAAACACTAACACCAAGCAAGATGGTGAAAAAAGGAAAGACCTTTATTTCTGAGTGATAGCACAGACTCAGTGGATTTACATCCAGAGACTGAGTCCTGAACAGAGGCCACATGGGGTTTTTATGGGGTTCGTCTGGGGTGTTCGGGGTAAAAGGGTGATTGGTTCCCTGCGATAAGAGTACCTGCAGCTAACAGTTTTTACAGAAGATAAACGTGCCTGAGCGGAAGTGAGGAGTAGGAGTACGGGCAGAGGAAGAAGGGAGGGGGGCAGGACACAGGAATTTTCCAGTCTCTATATGTGGTTTTTCAAGCTGGGCTGAGCCAGATGTCTGTGGCCTCACAACAAGTTGTTTCGCTGCTCAACAGAACTTCCCTAATTTAGGTTGGGCAAAGGTTGTATAATTCCTTCATTTTCCTCTCCTGCCTCAATCCACTTTGGCCAAGAGGATGTGGCCACCACTGCCCAAAGCTGAGGAGGTGAGGCTGCCATCTCAAAGGGGCAGAAGAATGAGATCTGCAGGGGCCAAGGAGATGGTTTATCACTCAGATGGTCTAAGAGAATGGGACCAACAAAAAACAAGGGAGCAAACTTGCCATCACTGTAGCCCTGAGAGGCAGAGCTGAAGCACAGGGCTGAGGGGCCCCCATCCAGAATCTAGGGAGCATGACCAGCACCCAGAGTCTGGAGAACAGGGTCATTGCCTAGATGGTCCCAAAGAGCTGATTGTTTTCAAGCCTTGAGAGCTCATGTAATGTGTTCTGCTGGGTTTGACCTTGTTTGGTGCCCATTTTCCCTTCTTTCCCTCCGGTTTCTCCCATTTGTAGTGGAAATGTCTGTGCCTGCTCCACCATCATATTTTGGAAATGGATAACTGGTAGTCTAGATTTCACAGGTTAACAGATGAAGAAGCGTTTTGCCTCTGGATGGAATATGCCTAAAGTCATCCCGTGCTTGATTTTGATTCTTCAGATGATATTTCGGACTTGGAGTTAATTTAAAACATTTAAGATGATGTGATGGGTGAATGTAATTTGCATGTGGCAAAGACATGGATTTTGGGGGGCCAAAGGGTGGAATGTTATGGATTGAATTATGTCCCCAAAATTTATGTATTGTGAATCCTAATCTCTTTGCATGTGGTTATAATTCCATTTAGGAATGGGTAGCCTTTGTTATGTTAATTAGACAGGACTTGTGCAGGGTGTGTCTTAAGTTGACCTCTTGAGCTAAGCCATTAAATAAGCAAGCAAGAAGCAGAGATGGGGGATGAGAGAAGCCAAGCCACATGAAGATTGCTCAGGGGCAGGAGCTCATAAGAGACGAGGCCTTCCCCTCGAGCCGGCACAATGATTTCGGACTTCTAGACTCCTAAACTGTGGGAAAATAAACTTCTGCTTGTGAAAGCCACCAATATCACTTGTGGTATTACTGTTATAGCAGCACTGGAGAACTAAGACAATGGACATTTGGGTAGTTTCTAGTTTTGGGAATAAATAATACTGTTAAGAACATGAGCGTAAACATCTTTCTATGGACAAGTTCTTGATTTTTTTTCAGGGTGTTGGTGGTAAATATCTAGGTGAGGAATAGCTAGATGATGTGGCAGGCATTTGTTTTAACTTTTTAAGAAACTGCCAAGCTTTTCCAAGGTCGTCGTACCGTTTTACATTCACACCAGCAGTGTACGAGATTTCCAGTTGCTCCACAACCTCGTCAACATTTGATGTGGTCGGTTTTCGTTTTAGCCATTCTTTAAAAAGTGTGAGGAACTCTGGTGGCACAGCTGTTAAAGCACTCTACTGCTAACCAAAAGGTCGGTGGTTGAAACCTGCCAGCAGCCCTGCGGGAGAAAGATGTGGCAGTCGGCTTCTGTAAAGATTACAGCTTGGAAAGCCCACCGGACCATTCCACTTTGTCCTGTAAGGTCTCTATGAGTTGGAATAGACTCCACAGCAATGGGCTGATAGGTGTATAGAAATA